TCTCTCTCTCTCTCTCCCTCTCTCTCTCTCTCTCCCTCGCTCGCTCTCCCCTACGGCGCGCCAAGATTCTTTTATTTCATTTTTTTTCTTGTGTTTATAATTTTTTTTTTCTTTTTGTGTGAGGTCACACCCCGTACTTGGCGGGCTCCGACCAAGAAGCAGCGACCGGGCCTTCCCTTGGCCGACCCCCCTAAGGCTGCGGCGCGTATACGGGAAGGCCCGCGGCCTATAGCTGAGCGAGGTACTGGTGGTTTAACCCTCAAAATTTGTACAAGCGAAAAGAACCAAGTAAGGATAAAGAGTTCGCAAGCTACATCACACCCGAAGTAGGAGCATCAACAACACAAAGCGATGCCGATTGCAGCTAAGCTCTAGTGTCACTCTCCCGGAATGTGACGCGCAACCTCACGCCCCGTGCCGTCTTCCGTTCAGAGTGCTAAGTGTGCGGAAAAGAGGCCCACAAAAACAGCAAGATGGGGTGTGCCAAGGATTTTTGGAAATTGAGTGTGGGGACACAGACAAAACTGAAATCCCCCGTGACGGTCTGATGAAGTGAGTCAGTTGCTCTTCGCGCGTTGCAGAATGCGCGCGGACTCGGCGCGAAAGGAGAGAGGAATACAAATTTAATCCAAAAAGTACTGTCGTACTTCCCACCGTGCTACGGCCCTTCGTTTAGAGCAAAAAGGTTTCGGCACGCTTCGCGTGTCTCGCTTGCGTATTAAGTCACGACGTCGCTCGCTGGTCAGTTTTGAGTTCGACGTGGAGGGTCTCAGTCGTGTGGCCCTTTCTCTATGTTCGTCGTCGTTCCGCATACGGTAGTGAAAGCCCTTGGATTCGTAGCGCTCGAAACGCTGGCACTCAGTGCACAGAGTGCGAGGCCACTGGGGTTCCACTGCCGTCCACGGAATGACGATCAACTCGTTAAAGGGCAATAATACTGAGTAAGGCGGAAAGTGAGTATCGATAATGACAAATCCAGCATCCACGAATCCTGAGCAACGATTTTCAGGAGGGAAGTAATACCGTCCGCCGATCCGTGCGACAGCTTCTCATACGTTCCACTCGCATACACGTGTCCTTTCCTCGTCGTAAGGAAAAGGTCGCGCCGGCACGGGAGATACTGGAGGCTGGCGCCTGATCGAAGGGCGTTCGTGAGTCCACATATCAATCAATTGCAAAAATCCCGAGACGTCATCAAGGAAAAACAACACCCGCACAACAACCAGTCAATTCTTTTCGACACGAGAGAGGGAGCGCTTATCAGTTTGATCATGCACTTAACCGAGGGACCGACCCGCGACTCAGGTTTAGTAAGCCGACGCGGCGTTGATCCGAGGCGCCTTATTTTTCAAGGCTGCCCTGTAGATCGGTTGCAGATGTCGTGCAGCATAAGGCAGATGGCATGCGCAGTGCATTCAAAACCCCAGATCTAAACTTTCTTGCATTCTCGAATAAAATCCCGTCGTCGAGTCTAATCAACACAAAAAGACAAGCATCTACGTACATACATCCACTGTGGAAGGTGCAAAAATGACTAGGGGTGCATASGTTAGAAATCAACCGAGGGAACTGTACACACGCATCCACCATTCACAAGACAAGAGGATCAATTCCTCGACATCTAGRGATTACCCRTGAAACTAATGGAAGAGTTCCGAAAGAAGTTCTTCCTTGCGAGAACTCTCGCGAGCTTRCTTCTGTTCACAAGAGGGACAAACCATCGATGCATCATCATTCAAGTCAGAGAGAGAGAGAGGTGGGAGGGATAGATGAGAAAAACCAAGACAGAAGACACCAAAATCCGACAAGAGAGCATTTAGCTTCACAACCATGAACTCACACCAGAAAAATGATCCGCAACGAAGGCGCATTCGCAGTAAAATTCCAATATGGCCCCGGGCCAACCATTCACTCAACCCCAATCACAAATCCTCATACCGGCACCGACGATCCCGACCGTCGCGTGCTAACCTCTGCCACTGCGATCGTCACCCCGCCGACGTAAACTCGGCTCAGCTCGCCCTGATCCCACAGTCCGTCATGGCGATCAAGCGYGCAACTGGCCAGACTACGGTCAGCCCGACAGGACTTTCTGACTCGCACCGAATGCATCGCCTAGCCACTACTTCCCGGAAGCTGGCTTGGGAGTCGAGAACGTAAGAGAGATTTGCGGATGCGCTTGCGGAATTTATAGTTGCGAGAAGGAGGATAAGGGAGGGAAAAGGCAGGGGGAAAGTCGAGGTGTAAGAGAAGAGGCAGAAGGAGGAGACTTAACGGGGAGCGYGCTGCGTAAGCCATGTTGATCCTTCAGAACCCAATGGTCAGCCAATCAGATTCGTCGCGCAATAGGAAGATCCTCTTGTTCAACGCGTCTGATTGGTGAGCAAGGGTGATCGGAGGATCAACCGGGCTTACGTGAGCCAAGGTTGATGAGCGGGAAGAGATGAAGCGCGAAAAGCAGCGCGGGACGGGTCCAAGATTAAGATGATCAAGAAAGGGAAGCARGCGCGCAAAAAGCAGAGAGGGAAAAACGGTTGCGATAGGAGAAGGAAAARARGGGGAAGGGAGAGGGGAGAATGCGGGGGAGGGATGGCGCAGGAAATAAGGAGGAGGATGCTCGTATGCGCGGTGCCGATAGCAAAAGAAAACAAAGGCACCGAAACAGTTACAGCTTGCCTATATCCTACACCAATTCAAAAATTGAAATCACCATATCCGCGCGCGAAAGTCGACGCGGGAAAAGAAAGTCCTATGCCTATCCGCATTCTCGCAAAATTCCTAGAGTTTTCTCCGACGTGACCAAGAACATTCATGCAGGAAAAAGATATGTCGGGCTCCGCCTATTTCGTAATTCCTAACTGTCGAGCCCGATTCCCAGTGCGCTCGCTAAGGCGCGCAAAATTTTCCGTGCACTTCCCGAATTGCAAAAAAGCAGAATTCCAAAAATCAATAGAACTTCCGAAAAATGGGGGCTCAAACATGATCAAGAAATGCGACGAGGGTTCTGTGGGGTCGGTATGATACACGAAGGGGTATTGGGCCAAGGGGGTACGAAAGATAGCACGGGGTCGGGAAGTGGTTCGTCACATATGTGACGCGCAGGGGGTTCCAAAATTATGCGATCTCCTGATTGCATGAAAGTTCAAACAAAGGGAGGAGACAAAGAACCAGGAAGAAGTACAAGGAACGAGGATCAGCATGATGAGCTGGCGACAACATCCGTGGCAAGATCTCCGTGAAGCATGCCGGCTCGTGTGATTTTGGATCCCGCTCTTTGCAGCCCTGTCATATGCAACCCCCTGTACCTCGAGCTTTGGAGATCGTCCAGGTGACACCATCATGGTCCATCAGATCTCCGTGTGCTCTGCACACCCAGTCCAGCGCAGTCGATTGAATCAGAGCATAAGTTGACGTCATCGTCAATGGCGTGATCTTCGCGAAAACTGCTGATTTATACCGCTCGGGGGACACGTGGCACTCAACGTCGTGTGGGGATGGGGAAGTAGACATTATACATGGAGGGGTGTCGACGGGGAGGGAAGGGGGGGAGTGGGGGTAAGTATCGGTTCGTCCCTTCCTCCGTGATCGGGAGCTCCTCGTATCGGATGATTCAGTGGACGCGGGGAAACCGATCGCCGCTGTGAGGGAGGGAGGCGAGGTGGTCAGGGTAAAGGGTGGAGAAAGTGCGGAAGAGTGCTGCACGAAACAGTTCGTGGTGGCGACACGCGGGGATGGTCCTGGTGATTACGCAGTAGACTTCTACCGCGTTGCTCTGTTGCCACGCGACACTGAACAGGAGGACGTGTAGACAGAACGTGGGGTTCGCGGCTTGAAGGGAGGGGCTGGGATAGACGGTGATGGCGAGATGGGTGGAGTAAAAGTGTTCGAACGTATTGGGAGGAAAGGGGTTGCGAGGGAAGGTGACGGGGGTAGAAATCTGGAAAGGGGGTAAGTTAATCAAAGGGACGGCGGGATAATGACCGAGAGCGAAGGCCGATTCCCCGCATTGGTACGTGGACGAACTGGGGACGAGTTGGGGTGGAGGGGGAGGGGGATCGGCTCCGTCTCCTTCGCGATGTGTTCGGAGCCGCGGTTGCTGATCCGGCATCTTCGGGCTCGAGGGGCTCTAGATCCCTGGTTATATCGTCGTTGATGCACAGGCTCGCCCTGCTGGCGATCTCTAGCTGGTTTTCCCCGGCGGCGATCTCTTCCCTTCTTCGTGCCGCGTCGGGATCTTCCGCCTCCGTGCCCGCGCGCGCCGCTTCTTCCGGCAAATTCTCCCACTCCGATCCGGCTTCCTCCTCCTCTTCTTCTTCTATCTCCTCTTCACTTTGCTCCCCTTCGCTATACTCACTATAACTTCCCTCCTCCGACGTTTCTTCGTCGGCGTCGCCCTCTTCTTCGGTGGCTTCTTCTTCTCCTTGAAGTGTTTCCTCAGACTCTTCCTTTGGGTAGAAGGCGAGATCGATAATCCCGTACGGCTTCAGGTGCTCTTGCCGCGATGGCAAGGTGTTGTCACTCCCGGGTTCCTCCAAGCACGCAGTCCACTGAAGATACGGTGCTAAGGCTCGCGTGATGACGTGCAGAGCGGGACTGTTGTCACTTTGCGAAACGATGTCGAGGGGGAGATCGTCAGCCAATTGTACGAGTGGGACGATGAGTTCTTGAACGATAGGCTGGCGATGGCCTGGTCGCACCGATCCGAAGAGGAAACCAAGAAGATCACCTTCCACGTCCGTTCTCCAAGCCTCCAGAATCAACATCTCCAGGTACTCGATGCACACAGGCTGCTCACTGGTCCGCGTCCACGTCACCTGCACTCGGGACAAGCACACAGATAGATCGACAAAGGTCTCGCGCCACAACCGCCAGTGTCCAGGATCGAGGAGCGGAACGACGAGAGGCTCGAGCACGAAAGAGAGGCGAGGATGGAGATCGGATTGCCAAAAGGTGGGGAAAAGAGAGGGGAGACCGAAGGTGGAGAGAGGAGCAAGGGGAGCGACGCGGTTCATTGGGGGCGTTGGAAGGGGATGAGGGCGGGGAGCGCGACTGCTGGCTGGCGCGAAGAAGTGCGAACGGCAAAGTCCGTCCCGGATGTCGGGAATAAATTGTACCCTGGACGCGCGAGACCGTGATGCCAATCAGTCGACACCTGTTGCGCCCACTCTCGCAAGGAGGTCAGGATCGCGGTATGCCGCAGTGGGCTGATCGTGCTGATGTCATCACTGAAGGCAGCGACCGTAGTGACGTGGCTCGTCCCAGGAGCCGCTCGTCGATGAAGAGCCACCACTTCTGCCAAGACCACCGCCTTCTGACTCCCGGCGAATCGAAACGCAGCAGCGACACACACTCCCTCGGTGCACAAAAACTGCGCTACCCTTCGCAGATCAGGACTAAGCCGCGGATGACGAACTTGCCAGATCTCGGAGATGTAGCCACGTGGCTGCAGCAGATGATCGCCAAGAGCTCGCTCCGTGATGAAACTCATGGCGAGGACGGGGAAGAAGATGAAAGAGGAGAGCAGGAGGGGGAGAGTGAGTGTGGAGCTAGTTCGTCTTCGTCCTCTTCTTCAACGGACGAGGGAGATGGAGGGATATCAGAGGGAGGGAGGAGACGGATATAAGAGGTATGGCGAACGATGGGGACAAAGCTATGGCTGGCGTTTGCCTCGGGCGCGATGCGCACCGTGTTGGCACCGTTGGGACCGAGTTCGACGACGCGGAAACTGCCAGAAAACTTGGGAGCGAGTTTACGGTCGCGTGCACATTTGCGTACTTGCACCAGGTCCCCTAACTTATATTGGTGTTGTGGGCCCGCATTTCCATTCCGAGCCTCGTAGCTACGGACCTGTCTACCGTGGGCCAATTCGGTCATTTTCTGTCTCTTCCGGGCCAATTTAGGCACGGCCCTCTCCATTAAATCGGCATACCTTTTGGCCTTGGCCTTAAGGGCGGCACGCGTGTCTCTACCCCCTGCTTCGGCAATTTCCAAGTTGCCCCGGTAATCGACACAGGGGAGGCTATTGGTTCGAAGCTGGAAGGGGGTGAACCCCGTGGATTCATGGGGGGTGGCCCGGTGAATTCTGACGATCTGATATACGATCTCGGGCCAGGGACGCGTGTCACGCGCCGCTAAATTTCTTCAGGGGGCAGTCTTAATCATGCGATTGGCATTTTCGGCCAACCCGTTGGACTGGGAAACGTGGGGTGCCGTATGTCGAAGCGTAATGCCTCTTCGTGCGAGTAAGTCCTCTACCTCACCTCTGAACTCGGACCCATTGTCAGTTAGAATTTCTTCCGTATCTAGGTGAGTGTAGAGAAACCGATCGATGCATGTGGCTATTTCTGCAGCCTTTCGGGTTTTACACGGGGAGACTTCGATATACTTCAGAAAATGACGATCAATACCAAGAGGATGGAGTACTCGCAACGGTTGGGACCAGGTGGCACGTCTATGTCAGTCGTATCCATACTGACCTGCTGAAAGGGCCGTTCTACCTCGTTGGAACTATCGTATTCGGCCCCCGAAAGGGGCGCGCGGTCGGCAGCACAGACTAGACAGTTAGCGACCATGTGCTTCACATCATCGCGGATATTAGACCAGAACCATCGATTCTGATTGATAGTTGCCTCGGTGACGCGTATCGCAAAATGAGCGGCCTGTTCCTCGTGCGCGGACCTAGTTCAGTCATATCTCTGAAAAGGATGGGGAACCGTCAACCATAGTCCCGATCCGTCAGTTTTACACTTTTCTAGGTGACCGTTGATCCATCGGTAATCCCGAGCTCTCTCGGTAGCCCGACGTCTGTCGTGCTTAGTGAGATGGTCCAAGGGTAATCCAACCAGCTTAACCAATATGATTTTATCCGTCCAGACCTCCGCTCGTCGGTATTTTTCGTCGTATTCAGGGCCGTCCGTACAGGCAGCCTCGAAACGAATCTCAGTAGGTAGTTTGTCCGTCCTACACAGAGGGCATTTCCATTCCCTACTATTTGTTCGATATCGAACACATGCAGCATGTGCACGATTGACACACGTGGCACAGTTTACCCACTCAACGAATCCGGTCTGAAAAGGATGACAATTAACCCCATATACCCGTGTGATACACGTGCAAAAATAGCAGAATCTGTCGGGAAGGGTGGCAAAGAAGGCCGAACTAGTGAGAGGGCTAGAATCAGCGGGGGAAGAAGGGGTCGCCGAGACAGGTGGGGTAGCCATTATGAGAGAAGGGGGGAACAGAGTGATCAGGGCTGCAGAGAGGTCAGAGCGAGGCTACGTGTCACGCACTCGTTTGACAAAATTTTCACCTGTCCATATCGCGGTCCGTTTTTCTCCTCCGGCTCGTTCCACGGAATCACTTCTTCGCTCTTGAGGACCTTCTCGGGTCTGTGCAATCGTGTCAACCCGTCAGCATTGTCGTGCCTCTCGTGCTTCCATGCTCTGCAGGATGGTGGCCAATCATCCGATCATGCCCAAGTAATCCTTGGATTTCTTCAGCGCCAACAGCGGTTCGTGATCGGTTACCAATGTAAACTTTCGACCGTACAGATATGCTCGGAAGTGGCTGATCCCCCATAAGGCTGCGTAACATTCTCCCGTCGGGGCCACGTAGTTGCACTTGCAGGTCGGTACCGTCTTAGATGCGTATTCCACCACGTGTTCGAGACCGTCGGGTCCCACCTGAGCCAAGATCGCGGAAATCGCCTCTGGCTGCCAATCGGTTATGAGAACAAAGGGCTTCCCTGGGTCCTGCCTTACGAGAACTGGGGCCGAAATCAGGGCCGCTTTGAGTTCTCCGAAAGCCCAATCGCATTGCGGGGTCCACATCAACGGTTGATCCTTTTTCAGTAGATTCGTGAGTGGTCCCGCGATCGCTGCAAATCCCTTGACGAACCTTCGATAGTACGACACCAAACCCAAAAAGGCGCGGACCTGCGTTATGGAAGTCGGTACCGGCACGTCTTTCACTGTTGTCCCCTTCTGGGGATCTGGTTGCAACCCCTGGTTCGTGACGACGTGGCCGAGGAAGGAGATTTCCGTGAGGAAAAATTGGCATTTTTCAACCGCCACCTTGAACCCTGCGTCCTTGAGTGCGTGTAGTGCCCATTCAATGTGTTGCACGTGTCCCTCATAGGAAGTAGAGACACAAGGATATCATTCATGTACACAATCACACAGTAATTGATTATGCTTTGCTCCAACCGCGTTTTTCGCACGAAATTCTGGAAGGCCATATTCATCACGCTGTCGGACCAAATACCCTTACAAGGCTATTTGGCCATGCTTTTGCATTCGACATGGTGACGGCGTTGGCTACCATGATGGAGCCAGTCTGGAATAGAGAGGGTGTGCACGCTTGAGCGTGACACTTGAAACAGTTTCCTCGACTATTGAAACTGGGGACACAAATCGGTGAGAAAATTTTGTTAAGTATGTACGCGCGTTGTTATGACGCTCGCCACGATGATTAGGATCAGTAGTAATACTCCTCGACAGAAGAGGTCGAAGGGTCAGTTGGGTTAATGTTGTGTCAGGTAGGTCTACGACATGCACTGAGATTTGGTATGGAACCTGTCTGTCTACCGGTACCAAAGGTTTAAAAATTTTCGTCTTTCCGTACTCGGCCTCCGAGTCGAGTACCCGCTGCATCTACCTCTACGTGGAGTGATACCGGCCTACCTACTACTTGAGCGTTTTAGGCTGCTCTTTAGCGCCGCAAACATCTTTCCCCGCCACTTGAGTGTTGCTGCAAGCCTTGACGTCACGGCAACAGGTAAGTACCGACCTTCGGGCCTACCGGTCAACCAAGTGCCCTTGCGGGCCACACACATACTCAAGCCGACAGACACTCAGATAGGCACGCCGAACAACAAGTGCTCACGCACAGACTCGRAAACGGGCTCGGGCCATTGGGCGGACTGAGCCTTACTACCTTACATACATCTGAGTTGCCCCACTTCTACCCAAAGTGGAAGCTAGCTCGGTAGGTTTAGGTGCAAACTRACAAGCGGGAGACACAGGGATCGAGGCCTACCACCCCACTGAGCTAGCTCCCTTTTAAAAGGGAGCTCTAGTTTTGTTGCTCGGTCTCAGACAGCCGGGACTCGAACCCACGACCTCATTATTAGAGTTAGTGGTAGTTTGCCCCGTTGAAACGGGGCATGACACTTGGCAAGTCGTGGTGGTTAGTAGTTAGATTTGCTTTTGTTTTTCCTTTAGTTATTTATTTTTATTTTGTCATTAGTTAGATTCGTTTCTTTTTGTTATTTTATCATATTCTTATTAATTCTCAAAATTTTTTGATCCCGTATCTACTCCCTACAAAGTTTGCTTTAGTGAATCTGCCTCGGATAGTCGGGCAGATTCGTTTCCAAACGAAGTCTGCTCGACTCCAGCCGACTTTGGCCTGCGGACTTCGGTTGCATGCTCGTCGGGCGACGCGGCAGGTGCACAGCAAAGTGGAAGGGATTGTGCATGGGCGGAGAAACGTGGGGTAGCGCACGCACGCGGAAAGATGGCGAGCGGGAGGCAGGCGAGATACCGCAAGCGTGCGAGTAGGAGACGGCATGCGGAGATCAACGGAGAAGATCGCGCGGTAGAAGGAGGAGCGAGGGGAGATTAAGAAGGAGAGTGCGGAGGTGGTGAAGGCGAAGTGGAGGGAGCAATAGCGGGAGCACGTGCGTGGAGGCTGGAAGAGCAAGCACGGGGCGCGACTGACGAAGGTGGCGACTCGGAGAATAACAAAGTAGCACACGAAGAAGAAGAAGAAGAAGAAGAAAAAGAAGAAGAAGGAGAGGAGGAAGAAGAGGGAGACGAGAAGGGGGTCTTCGTCGGGACGGGGAAGATTGTTGAAATTATCGATCTTGAACGACGAATGCCTAGTAAGCGCAAGTCATCAGCTCGCGCTGATCACGTCCCTGCCCTTTGTACACTCCGTCGTCGCTCCTACCGATTGAATGGTCCGGTGAAGTGACTGGATCGAGGTGATCTCGGTGGTTTGCCGCTGGGAGTGTTGTGAGAAGATCGTTGAACCTTATCATTTAGAGGGAGAAGAAGAAATGAGAAGAAGGAAGAAGGAGGAAGAAGAAGAGGAAGAAGGAAAAGAGGAGAGAAAGGAGGAGAAAGGGAGCGCGAAGGAAAAAGAAAAGAGACTACGCAAGTGGAAATGAAGTGTGTGGGAATGTGCGCGCAGGGGATCTAAAAAGAATACTTACCTGAGCCGGCGATGACGATGATGGCAAGGACGGGGCTGACAACTCCGACGGACTAATGCCGACGACATCACGACATCGGCCCGACATGTGAAAAAGAAAAGAGACTACGCAAGTGGAAATGAAGCGTGCGGGAATGTGCGCGCAGGGGATCTAAAAAGAATACTTACCTGAGCCGGCGACGACGATGATGGCAACGACGGGGCTGACAACTCCGACGGACTAATGCCGACGACATCACGACATCGGCCCGACATGTGAGGTAAGTCCCGATGTCCCGGCTAAGTTCSTGGTACTCTCCCCGACAGGATAAATAGGATAAAATAAATAAATAAGTAAATAAATAAATAGATGAATCGAATTAATCTACCACTAGAATGTGGAAAGATTCACTACAGTGTGTGTGTGTTGAGTGTACTACTATGTGTGTGTGTGTGTGTACGAGAGAGAGAGAGAGAGAGAGAGAGAGAGAGAGAGAGAGAAAGAGAGAGAGAGAGAGTTCTTCTTCTTTCTCTTCTAAGTCCACCATCTCTCCTCCCCCTCTCAACATCTGACTTCACTGCATCTGCAGACTACGAGAGGAGAGGGAGACAGAGCTCGGTGACACCGAATTCAGACTCGGCTTTGGGACTTCAGACATGACCAGGAGGGATTAGTTAGGATTGGCGACGAAAACCTTGTGTTGACCACATTCCCATCTCTCCTCCTCCTTTCGTCTGATCCCTTCCTTTCGTCGGATCCACTCCTCTTCGTCTGTGTATGGCGGGGGCTGGCGCATTCTTCCTGCGTGAGCGCCAGACCCCTTCACATCATGGAACGATGATGATGCATGATTGGGGTTGTATTGCAACATTGATTGTTCGGATCAGTGGTATCTGGTCTGCACCTTTACAATATGTAACGGTGTGTGTGTGTGTGTGTGTGTGTGTGTGTGTGTGTGTGTGTGTGTGTGTGTGTGTGCTCATACGGGTGTGCGAATGTGTGACGATCACGCTATGACCCCGATTACTTCTGCCAATAGGATGGGCAGAATCGAATGAATCTACCGCTAAAACATGGAAATATGCACTACTGTTTGAGTACACACGAGTGTGTGTTGATCTCGCTACGGAGTCCATGCTACTTTCATCGGCAGGACGTGCGAAATCAATTGAATCTATCGCTAGAACACAGTAGCATACGCCACTACTGCTTATGTATGCACGGGCATGTATGTACGAGGGTGTGTACGTGAGTACGTGTATGGGTGTGTGTATAAGAGAGAAAGCAGAGGATTCTCGCCTGGACTGCCGATTTCCCGTCAAACTCCAAACGTGTATCTGATTAAAACGATAAGTAGCATTCATTTATTATTATTATTATTATTATTATTATTATTATTATTATTATTATTATTAATGTTATTACTATTTGCCTTGCCTGCCTACCACATGAGCAGGGAGAAAACGTGCGGGAACGATAATGCAATCGTCGGTGGCATCCTGAGGCTGGCCGTCATCCGTCCGGCTTGCTAAAACGCACGCTTGGAAAGTTCGTGTTCCTCATGTTGTGGTCGCGGTCTGTTGCATGTCGTGTCGGATCATGTTGCAGACTACATTAACCTTGGTTAGCACCAATGCCAAGGGGAGAGAGAGAGAGAGAGAGAGAGAGAGAGAGAGAGAGAGAGAGAGAGAGAGAGAGAGAGAGAGAGAGAGAGAGAGAGAATTCTTCTTCTTTCTCTTCTAAGTCCACCATCTCTCCTCCCCCTCTCAATATCTGACTTCACTGCATAGCAGACTACGAGTGGAGAGAGAGAGAGTTTGGTGACATTTGGATTCTTAGTCGACATTGGACTTCATACATTTGAAGAGGGATTATTTGGGATTGATGACAAAGACATGGTGTTGACGGCATTCCCATCTCTCCCCTCCGATCATCTAATCCCTCCCTCTTCGTCTGTGTATGTCTGAACCTGGCGCCTCTTCCTGCATACAGCGCAAGGCTCCGTCACCCTGGTGATGGAAAAGACGTATGTTTAGTCTGAGTCCAAATGTTGATCGGGCTCGTTATTAGCCTTCTAGCATTCTGTTTCACTACTCTGTACTACGAGAGTGAGGTCAGTCCCGGGCAGGTCTGTCTTTGTATCTAAGTCTTCCCTGCGCTGTTCATCACCATCAGGCATGTATGAACATGCGAATTGTTGGGCGAGATCTGTTTGCACCGCATTGTCCATTCAACCCTTTCATCACATTGAAGATCCTCGGTTATTACGTACGTCACGTATCTATGCATGGCGATGGGATGATGATGATGATGATGGGATGATGATGATGATGATGATGATGATGGGAGGATGATGATGATGGTGATGACGATGGTGAGGATGATGATGATGTGTGGACACATACCTGTATTGGTGATGGTCTGCATGGGGGGCATCTTCAAGTACTTCAGATCGCCGCTGATGACAACAGTTGTATTGTCGGTTGTACGCTGTAGTAGCTGTGTAGGACTAGGCTGGACGCTGAGCGCCAAGTATGATAGTAAAGGGACTGAACTCTTGTGTGGATGGAGAAAGAATATGACTCTCCTTGGCATCGGTTTTCAGTGCTACGAACCTCCATTGGTGTATTATTGGTGCACTGCTTCTCTTTGGACACGGTGTGACTAGTTGGCTTTCAATGTGACGGTGTGATTTGGGATTGTCATCTCGTCGTAGC